AAAAAAACTTTCCCCCCCCGTGTTTAAAATTGCCACCCAGGGGTTTAATTTTTCCGCCTAACCCCCCCAATTTTCAAAAAGAAGGTCCGTCATTCCGGGCCCCTCCCTTTACCTCTTGCCCCCCCCATTTCCCCAAGGATTCGTTTAAGTTTGGGCCCCTCTTTGTCGAGGTTATCCGGGAACTTTTCCCTTATTCCGAGCCTTTTCCCCCGCCGGCTACTTTACCTCTTGCTCCCCCTCCCTTCCCCTTTTGAAATGGTCCGATTTGTAAAAATTCCCTTATTTTTCGGCCCCCCCTTTTTTTTTTCCTCTTTTTCACGCTCTTTTTTCCCCTTAACTCCCCTTTTTAGCTTTAACCATTTCCCCCCCCCCGGATTCCGTTTAGCCTGGGTTCTTTTCCCTCCCCTTCCCCCAACTCTAACGGCGCTTCCCCTCCTTTTTTTCCAAATTTTCCCTATTCCATGCCCCTGCACAAGGTCTTCTCTGATCGAATTTTCCGCATTTTGGGAAGGTCACGGGGGTTTATACTTCCCCTTATTTTTCCCCCTGTTTACTCCCCGCCCTTTCCCTTGCCTTCATTCCTCTTTGTTTTCTCAACTCCACTTTCAGGTAAAAAATTTAAACACCTCACCCCTTAGTCCTCCGTATCCAACTTTGGCTATGCCGCATCTTTACCAAGCATAAAGATATTGTTTTTTGTTGGGTCCCTGGTCATGTTGACGTACAGGGCAATGAACAGGCAGACACTGCTGCGCGGTCAGCAGTACATGACCTACCAGTTTCTTATAGAGGTATTCCATTTACGGACTATTTTGCTGCAATATCTTCCCACCTTCACACCCGTTGGCAACAACGTTGGTCTACTATGCTCGGCAACAAACTTCAATCTATAAACCGAGTATAGGTTACTGGCCGTCTTCTTATCACCAGTGTCGAGGTTGGGAGACTACTCTCTCCCGTCTTCGCATTGGCCATACTCGTCTTACTCATGGATATCTCATGGAGAGGCGTCCTGCTCCTCTCTGTGAGAATTGCCAAGCTCCATTATCAGTCCAGCCACATTTTGTTGGACTGCCCACTTTATCAACGAGCACGCAGAATTTACCTCTGTCGTCGTCTTCGCTCTGCTACTCTCACTTTACCTTCCCTTCTCGCTGATGGACCCACCTTTCATCCAGACTCTCTCATTGACTTTTTGACAACAACTGACTTACTTCACAAATTCTGATACCTTCAGCCCTTTCTACTTCAATCTCTTGCTACCCTCTACCCCCATACTATCCCCTGCCCCGCTGTTTTCTGTAACCTGCTGATCATCCCTCCTCCCTTCTGCCATCCAATACCCTCACTTCCTTCCCTACCCTGCAGCGCTGTATAGCCCATGTGGCTTAGCGCTTCTTTTTGATTATAATAATAATAATACACATTCATATTCTCTTTTCTCCTTCCATAACTGATCATTCAACATTACTGCTATCCCTTCCTTTGCTCTAACTCTCTCAGATACTCCAGATTTAATCCCATTTATTTCCCCCCACCGAAACTCCCCTACCCCCTTCAGCTTTGTTTCGCTTAGGGCCAGGACATCCAACTTCTTTTCATTCATAACATCAGCAATCATCTGTTTCTTGTCATCCGCACTACATCCACGCACATTTAAGCATCCCAGTTTTATAAAGTTTTTCTTCTCTTTTTTAGTAAATGTCTACAGGAGAAGGGGTTACTAGCCCATTGCTCCCGGCATTTTAGTCGCCTCATACGACACGCATGGCTTACGGAGGAAAGATTCTTTTCCACTTCCCCATGGACAATAGAAGAAATAAAGAGGAACAAGACTATTTAGAAAAAGGAGAAAAACCTAGATGTATGTATATATATATGCATGTGCGTGTCTGTGAAGTGTGACCAAAGTGTAAGTAGGAGTAGCAAGATATCCCTGTTATCTAGCGTGTTTATGAGACAGAAAAAGAAACCAGCAATCCTACCATCATGCAAAACAGTTACAGGTTTCTGTTTCACAGTCATATATATATTATATATATATATGTATGTGTATTTGTATTTATATTTATATTTATTTTCTCCATGGGGAAGTGGAACAGAATTCTTCCTCCGTAAGCCATGCATGTCGTAAGAGGCAACTAAAATGCCGGGAGCAAGGGGCTAGTAACCTTTTCTCTTGTATATATCACTAAATGTAATAGGAGAAACTTTTATTTTTTTTTTTTGGGCCACCCTGCCTCGGTGGGATACGGCTGGTGTGTTGAAAGAAAGAAGAAAAATATACTTATATTTCTCCATGGGGAAGTGGAACAGAATTCTTCCTCGGTAAGCCATGCGTGTTGTAAGAGGCGACTAAAATGCCGGGAGCAAGGGGCTAGTAACCCCTTCTCCCGTATAAATTACTAAATTTAAAAAGAGAAACTTTCGTTTTTCTTTTTGGGCCACCCTGCCTTGGTGGGATACGGCCGGTGTTGAAAAAAAAAATATATATATATAATATGTGTGTGTGTGTGTGACAGTGAAACAGAAACCTGTAACTGTTTTGCATGATGGTAGGATTGCTGGTTTCTTTTTCTGTCTTATAAACACGCTAGATAACAGGGATATCTTGCTACTCCTACTTACACTTTGGTCACACTTCACAGACACGCACATGCATATATATATATACATACATCTAGGTTTTTCTCCTTTTTCTAAATAGCTCTTGTTCTTCTTTATTTCTTCTATTGTCCATGGGGAAGTGGAAAAGAATCTTTCCTCCGTAAGCCATGCGTGTCTATGGGGCGACTAAAATGCTGGGAGCGATGGGCTAGTAACCCCTTCTCCTGTAGACATTTACTAAAAAAGAGAAGAAGAAAAACTTATAAAACTGGGATGCTTGAATGTGCGTGGATGTAGTGCGGATGACAAGAAATGGATGATGGCTGATGTTATGAATGAAAAGAATTTGGATATCCTGGCCCTAAGCGAAACAAAGCTGAAGGGGGTAGGGGAGTTTCAGTGGGGGGAAATAAATGAGATTAAATCTGGAGTATCTGAGAGAGTTAGAGCTAAGGAAGGGGTTGCAGTAATATTGAAGGATCAGTTATGGAAGGAGAAAAGAGAATATGAATGTGTAAATTCAAGAATTATGTGGATTAAAGTAAAGGTTGGATGCGAAAAGTGGGTCTTAATAAGTGTGTATGCACCTGGAGAAGAGAGGAATGTAGAGGAGAGAGAGAGAGATTTTGGGAGATATTAAGTGAATGTATAGGAACCTTTGAACCAAGTGAGAGAGTAATTGTGGTAGGGGACCTGAATGCTAAAGTAGGAGAAGCTTATAGAGAGGGTGTGGTAGGTAAGTTTGGGGTGCCATGTGTAAATGATAATGGAAACCCTTTGATTGAACTTTGTATAGAAAGGGGTTTAGTTATAGGTAATACATATTTTAAGTAGCCTTAAGTTCTGGACACACATACAACAAATCACCAAGAGAATCTCCAAGACTGTAGGCATACTATCAAAGATAAGGTGCTAGGTTCCACAATCAGCTCTCCTGGCACTGTACCATTCACTCATATACCCTTATCTTACATATGGAATTTGTGCATCGGGATCAACAACATCCAATCACCTAAAACCCCTAATAACTCAGCAAAAGGCAGCAGTAAGAACGATAACAAATTCCCACTCCCGCCAGCATACTCCACAAATTTTCAAAAGTCTGAATCTGCACACCATTAAGAACATCCATACTTATTCATGTGCTTACTACATACACAGAACAATACACGCAAATATAAACCCCCCACTCAAACTTCTCCTCACCAACCTAACCAGAACACATGACCACAACACAAGACACAGATCTCTTTTTGATATACCTCGTGTCCATATCACACTGTGTAAAAGCTCTATGCACATAAAGGGCCCCAAAATATGGAATTCATTACCAGAAGATATTAAAGTAACCCAGTCTGAAAATCAATTTAAAACTCTTCTCAAAAGCCACTTAATCACCCTAGACTAAATGCTAAATACAGTGGACCCCCACTTAACGATCACCTCCCAATGCAACCAATTTTGTAAGTGTATTTATTTAAGTGTGTTTGTACGTGTATGTTTGGGGGTCTGAAATGGACTAATCTACTTCACAATATTCCTTATGGGAACAAATTTGGTCAGTACTCGCACCTGAACATACTTCTGGAATGAAAAAATATCGTTAACTGGGGGTCCACTGTACTCAGTACACACTTACTCACCTATGTACTCCCACATCATAACTGAAACAATCACATTGAACCTTTTATCCATTGTTGACAGGAATATAATTGAATCATTGTTTTCACAAAAGCATTTTAGAATATAAATATATCTTTGTATTATACAAATTTTGATTCATTTATAATTAATATTCTACTGTATAACTATGAAATAATTACTATCCTACTGTACAATTATGATACACTCCTTAGTATTAAGTAGACTGTAAGCCAATAATGTTAAGTTGGCCCATAATGCCTAGGCATAATAGAGGCTCTATTTGCATTGCAACCCACTATTGTAAATACAAAATCTCAATGTACTGTTTGCAAAGACATAAAATAAATAAAATAAGTAAATAAATAAAATAGATCTGAGGATGCTGTTAGTTAGCCATGGGCTATTTAGTCTCCTACTTGTGATCTGTGTTATAGAGGGCAGCACTATTGTAGAGGCTTGAACTTTTTTGTACACATATTTCAATACATGAGTTAATGTTCTGTTGTTAAATTCTCTCAGCTTGCCTGTTTCTGAGTGCTCTGGTAAAATTATTCAATGATGCCTCATCATTAAATCTGAATGTGATTATTTGTTTCTAGTGAAAATTTTGATATGTTGGAGCTTAGAAAGGTGCAATAAAAATGCCTGCTAATAAACTCTTAATTGCCTTCTGTAGTCATTTCAGCAGCAAGGGTGTCACAGTGTACTGTATATATTTTTAAGTTAGTGCATCATGATGTATTTTTCAGGCTGGTATCCAGGCACCACAGCAACAGCCATGCAGGTGATGAGATATAATCTTAGTGTTGCATATACAGTGCGAGGAGAATTGGAAAAAGCCAATAATTTACTTAAAGAGGTAAGAAAACCTGTTTAATTATAGTTTTTTCTTTTTTTTTCAACATTTCTGCCATCTCCCACTGAGGCAGGGAGGATTCAAAAAAGAAAAACACTTTCACCATCATTCACACATAATCACTGTCTTTGGAGAGGCATGCAGATATGACAGTTCAAATGTCATTCCCAACAGCCAATATCCCAAACCCCGTCTTTTAAAGTGCAGGCATTGTACTTTCCAACTCCAAGACTCGAGTCCAGCTAGCCGGTTACCCTGAATCCCTACATAAATATTACCCTGCTCACACTCCAACAGCTCATTGGGTCCCAAAAATCATTTGTCTCCATTCGCTCCTATCTAACATGCTCACATGTGCCTTCTGCATGTCCAAGTCCCTTGCATACAAAACCTCTTTTACCCCCTCCCTCTGTCCTTTCCTAGGACAACCCCTACCCCTCCTACCCTCCACTACAGATTTATAAATCCTCCAAGTCAACCTATTTTGCTCCATCCTTTCTAAATGACCAAACCACCTCAACAACCCCTCTTCAGCCCTTTGAATAATACTTTTAGTAACTCCACACCCCCTCCTAATTTCCACACTACGAATTCTCTGCATAATATTTACACTACAGATTGCCCTTAAACATGACATTTCCACTACCTCCAGCCTATTCCTTGCTGCAGCATTTACAACCCATGCTTCGAGAATCGAAGACTAACCCAAAAGGATTCTTTCAGGTATACAGAAGTAAGATCAGGGACAAGATAGGCCCACTCAAAAGTTCCTCGGGTCAGCTCACTGACAGTGATAAGGAAATGTGTAGAATTTTTAACACATACTTCCTCTCAGTTTTTACACAGGAGGATACCAGCGATATTCCAGAAATGATAAATTATGTAGAACAGGACGATAATAAACTGTGCACGATTAGGGTCACAAGTGACATGGTCCTTAGGCAAATAGATAAATTAAAACCTAACAAATCCCCAGGCCCTGATGAACTGTATGCAAGGGTTCTAAAGGAATGTAATGTAAAGAGGAACTTAGCAAACCTTTGGCTAATCTTTTCAACATATCACTACAAACTGGCATGGTGCCAGATAAGTGGAAAATGGCAAATGTGATACCTATTTTCAAAGCAGGTGACAGGTCCTTAGCTTCGAACTATAGACCAATAAGCCTAACCTCCATAATGGGAAAATTTATGGAATCAATAATTGCCGAGGCAGTTCGTAGCCACCTTGAAAAGCATAAATTAATCAACGAATTTCAGCATGGTTTTACAAAAGGGCATTCCTGCCTTACGAATTTATTAACTTTTTTCACTAGGGTATTTGAGGAGGTAGATCATGGTAATGAATATGATATTGTGTATATGGACTTCAGTAAGGCTTTTGACAGGGTCCCACATCAAAGACTATTGAGGAAAATTAAGGCACACGGAATAGGAGGAGAAATTTTTTCCTGGATAGAGGCATGGTTGACAAATAGGCAGCAGAGAGTTTGCATAAATGGGGAGAAATCGGAGTGGAGAAGCGTCACGAGCGGTGTTCCACAGGGGTCAGTGTTGGGCCCCCTGCTGTTCACAGTCTACATAAATGACATAGATGAGGGCATAAAGAACGACATCAGCAAGTTTGCCGATGACACCAAAATAGGCCGTTGAATTCATTCTGACGAGGACATTAGAGCACTCCAGGAAGATTTGAATAGACTGATGCAGTGGTCGGAGAAGTGGCAGATGCAGTTTAATATAGACAAATGCAAAGTTCTAAATGTTGGACAGGACAATAACCATGCCACATATAAACTAAATAATGTAGATCTTAATATTACAGATTGCGAAAAAGATTTAGGAGTTCTGGTTAGCAGTAATCTGAAACCAAGACAACAGTGCATAAGTGTTCGCAATAAAGCTAATAGAATCCTTGGCTTCATATCAAGAAGCATAAATATTAGGAGTCCTCAGGTTGTTCTTCAACTCTATACATCCTTGGTTAGGCCTCATTTAGATTATGCTGCACAGTTTTGGTCACCGTATTACAGAATGGATATAAATGCTCTGGAAAATGTACAAAGGAGGATGACAAAGTTGATCCCGTGTATCAGAAACCTTCCCTATGAGGATAGACTAAGGGCCCTGAATCTGCACTCTCTAGAAAGACGTAGAATTAGGGGGGATATGATTGAGGTGTATAAATGGAAGACAGGAATAAATAAAGGGGATGTAAATAGTGTGCTGAAAATATCTAGCCTAGACAGGACTCGCAGCAATGGTTTTAAGTTGAAAAATTCAGATCCAGGAAGGATATAGGAAAGTACTGGTTTGGTAATAGAGTTGTGGATGAGTGGAACAAACTCCCGAGTACAGTTATAGAGGCCAGAACGTTGTGTAGCTTTAAAAATAGGTTGGATAAATACATGAGTGGATGTGGGTGGGTGTGAGTTGGACCTGATAGCTTGTGCTACCAGGTCGGTTGCCGTGTTTCCTCCCTTATGTCGATGTGACCGGACCTGTCTAGGTTGGGTGCATTGGCTTAAGCCGGTAGGAGACTTGGACCTGCCTCGCATGGGCCAGTAGGCCTGCTGCAGTGTTCCTTCGTTCTTATGTTCTTATGTTCTAGGAGAGACAAGCTTACAACTACCTTTCGGTCTGACTTTGACCATTTAGAGAGTCACACAATGTGACTTTGTAAATGGACCAAGTCGGACTGAAATGTCGCCGTAAGTTCCTCTCTCCTATGTGAGGGTTATTTGTGTATTGTTCCAGTCACGTTCTTTTTTTTTTATTAACACATCGGCCATTTCCCACCAAGGCAGGGTGGCTCAAAAAAGAAAAACTTTCAACATTATTTACTCCATTACTGTCTTGCCAGAGGTGTTACACTACAGTTACAAAACTGCAACATTAACACCCCTCCTTCAGAGTGCCGGCACTGTACTTCCCATCTCCAGGAATCAAGTCCAGCCCGCCAGTTTCCCTGAATCCCTTCATAAATGTTACCTTGTTTACACTCCAACAGCACAGTCTTAAAAACCATTTGTCTCCATTCACTCCTATCTAACATGCTCATGCACGCTTGCTGGAAGTCCAAGCCCCTTGCACACAAAACCTCCTTTACCCTCTCCCAGCAACCTTTCCTAGGCTGACCCCAACCCTGCCTTCCCTCCACTACAGATTTATACACTCTCAAAGTCATTCTATTTCGTTCCGACCTCTCTATGTCCAAACCATCTTAGTAACCCCTTCTCAGCCCTCTGGATAATAGTTTTGGTAATCCCATACCTCTTCCTAATCTCCACACTATGGATTCTCTGCATTATATTCACACCACACATTGCCTTCAGACATGACATCTCCACTGCAGCCTTCTCCTTGTTGCAACATTCACAACCCATGCCTCACACCCATACAGGAGTGTATAGGTATAACTAAACTCTCATATATTCCCCTCTTTGCTTTCATGGATAAAGTTCTCTGTCTCCACAAACTCCTCAGTGCACCACTCGCCTTTTTTCCCTCGTCAGTTCTATGATTCACCTCGTCCTTCACAGACCCATCTCCTGACACGTCCACTCCCAAATATCTGAACACATTCACCTCCTCCCTACTCTCTCCCTCCAATCTGATAACCAGTTTTCTGTTACCTAATTTTTTTTTTATTCTCATCACCTTACTCTTACATAGATGCATACATACATACATACCCTACCAAACTCATCAACCAACCTCTGCAACTTCTCTTCAGAATCTCCCAAAAGCACAGTGTCATCAGCAAAGAGCAACTGTGACAACTCCCACTTTGTGTTAGATTCTTTATCTTTTAACCCCACACCTCTTGCCAAAACCCAAGCAGTCACTTCTTTTACTACTCCATCTGTAAATATATTGAACAACCAAGGTGACATCACACATCCATGTCTAAGGCCTACTTTTACTGGGAAATAATCCCCCTCTCACCTACATACTCTAACCTGAGCCTCATTATCCTCATAAAACCTTTTCACTGCCTTCAATAACCTGCCTTCTATTCCATACATTTGCAACATCTGCCACATTGTCCCCCTATCCATCCTATCATATGCCTTTTCCATATCCATAAATGCCACATACCTCTTACCCTTATCTAAATACAGTGGACCCCCGCATAACGATCACCTCCGAATGCGACCAATTATGTAAGTGTATTTATGTAAGTGCGTTTGTACGTGTATGTTTGGGGGTCTGAAATGGACTAATCTACTTCACAATATTCCTTATGGGAACAAATTCGGTCAGTACTGGCACCTGAACATACTTCTGGAGTGAAAAAATATCGTTAACCGGGGGTTCACTGTATTGCTCACCTATATGTTTCACTGCAAACACTTGGTCTACACACCCCCTATCCTTTCTAAAGCCTCCTTGTTCATCTGCTATCCTGCTCTCTGTCTTATTCTTAATTCTTTCAATAATAACTCGATCATACACTTTTCCAGGTATACTCAACAGACTTCTTCAACACACTGGCCATATCCCACCGAGGCAGGGTGGCCAAAAAGGAAAAACAAAAGTTTCTCCTTTTACATTTAGTAATATATACAGGGGTTACTAGCCTCTTGCTCCTGGCATTTTAGTCGCCTCTTAAAACAGCATGGCTTACGGAGGAAGAATTCTGTTCCACTTCCCCATGGAGACTTGAGAGACATCTTCTTTCTTCTTTTAACAAACTGGCCATATCCCACTGAGGCAGGGTGGCCCAAAAGGAAAAGCGAAAGTCTCTCTTTAAATTTAGTAATTTATACAGGAGAAGGGGTTACTAGCCCCTTGCTCCCGGCATTTTAACCGCCTCTTACAACACGCATGGCTTATGGAGGAAGAATACTGTTCCACTTCCCCATGGAGACTCGACAGACTTATTCCCCTAGAATTTTTCCACTCTTTTGTCCCCTTTGTCTTTATACATGGGGTACCTTACCCTAGGTATCTAACCCTCTTCTATTCATTTATTAAATAAAAACACTAACCACTCCAAAA